ATGGTGGGGGTAGAAAGACGATTAGAGTGAGAGGCAGGAATAATAAGATCGTTCTTTCTCTGTTTACTGAAGCCTGATTGGTTGTTGTTAATCCAACAATCAATCAGACTAGTTAGAACAACAGTAAACAGAGAAAGAACGATCTTATTATTCCGGCCTCTCACTTTAATCGTCTTTCTACCCCCACCATTGCCATTAGCGGTCCATTCTAGATGTCGATGGGATCACCCCGTCATCAACGAAGAAATCGTTGAAAACAAATGCTGGATTCACACTGCATCCGATTTACGTCATACGACGCGCTGCAACCAATCAGAAAACAGGATTCCGATGGATTTTGCTTCATATCATCGGAATTTTGTTTTCTGATTGGTTGAAGAGTGTCGTACGACAAAAATCGGATACATTGTGAATCCAGCAAAAGACGATATTGGGATCGGCCTATACTTCGTGAGCGACGAAGGGTGTGTTCCGATATACACTGCCAGTACTGGCAGTACTGAAAAATTGTTCCGTTAGTACTACGCAGTGCCCTGCGACAGCGTCTAGTTCCCTCAATGACGTCATAAATGGTAGCCATATTGCCACTGCGACTACTGCGGCTATCGAGGTGAGGTGATTACAGTGCAATATGGCGTCGCACAAGGCCCAACGTGTAGAAATATTTGATCCCGAAGATCAAAAAATATACATTTTGTATTTGAGTGCAGAAGATGCACAAAAAATGAAAAATGGTAAGTAAAATTTACATTATAAAATTATAAACTACCCTCATATGTGTGTGTAAAATTGACTATTCGTTAAAATGCTGTGTTTTAACCTTGTTTGTGTGTATTGTTTTATAAGCTAGGTATATATAACAAAAAAGATTAATTATATTGTATAGATAGATAGATAGATAGCCTTTATTGATCCCCTCGGGGTTACAATTTAAATTACATATTTGTTACAATTAAACAACCTTAACCTAACTTATTCTAACTTAACCTACTTAAAACTAACTACCGCTCGCAACCTCTCTCTTTCTCCTAATTATATTGTTTATAAAATATTATTATTGGAACTTTTTAACATACATGTTTCAACATATTTCATAATATATAAAAAGGTATGTACATTAATTATAGTTATATATATCTGTAACTTATAATGTACATATTTTTTTTAATTAACGTGTGTGTGTGTGTGTGTGTGTGTGTGTGCGCGCGCGCGCACATATATATGTATAATATATATATATCACATTTTATAGATATCAATTTTGCTTCTGCTTTGTTACAATATGCAAAAGAAAATGTATCCAAATCTGGTATGTATGATTCTTGATGTCTATATCATATAACATAATTTTTACATTATAATATACTATATGAGAAATAATCTTTATATTATATCTGTCAAACATATAACTAAACAGATATACCAACTACAAGTACAGGAAAAATAACAAAAAGTTCGTCAAATATATTAAATAATAATGGAGATTCAATATCTGATATTGAAAATACACCATGTACAAGTACTGAAATAAAAAGTTCATTGGATGTAGAGAATAATAAAGATTCAAAATCTAATAATGAAGGTATTTATTAATAATGATAAAATGGTTATAAAAGTTTTAATCATGATATCAATTTGACATATTTTCAAAATAATATTTAGTGCATAAAAATTATATACTTACACAAGTAAATACTTTATTGTCCTCATTTTGCTATTTTGTTGTAAAAAAATTTTGTTACAATTATCATAGTTCTTAATTTAACTCAGGATTGACATAATCTTTTATATTATAACTTATATATTTGTATGTATTTGTTATATGTTGTATTACAGATATCTACGTATGGAGCAAAAAAGAAACCTTACTATTAATACACTTATATAAAGAACATGAAGAAATCTTTACCTCGGGAAAAATGAAACAACATTTATGCTGGGAACGGATAGCAAAAGAAATGTTAAAAAAAGATTACAATATCTCTGCAAAAAAATGTTGCACAAAGTTTCTAGGAAAGCAGTGACAAGAATGTTGGACCAAGGATCGTTGAAAGTGAACAAAAAGCATTTTTTTACTTTGATTTATAATCTTTCATTCAACATGTATGTTAGTGCATTTCTTTTTTGAATGCCTTCTTCTTTATCTTGAGCATTAATTTCATCAACACCATGTTGAATCGTAGCAATATTATCTATTTCGGCAATTATGATATCATCTATGAAATCTTCATGTAAAATACAAATGTTATGCAGCACACAACAAACAATAATGTATTGGGGTATGAGATCCGTCCGTTTCATATACAATTTATCTAAAAGACTTCGAAAACGTCCTTTCAAAAAACCGATGGCTCTTTCAATCATTACACGGGCCGAACATAGACTTTGATTAAAATTTATTTGTGCTTCTGACAAATGGCCATTGTTCTTATAAGGCACCATCACATGTTTTTGCAAAGCATAGGCAGCATCACCAATTAGATGACTATTATGTGGAAAATAATTTTCTGTGCACATAGATTGGATGCCACTTAGTCGGAATACACGCATATCATGCACAGATCCTGGTTGTCCTGCATAGCAGTGTATGAACTTTAAGGTGGAATCACATATAACCTACAACAAATGTTAAAACATTTATCAATCTAATAAACATTTTACCATAGTTATTACGTTATATTAATTACAATAAATATTTCACTTACTTGTAACTGTATTGAATAATAACCTTTTCGATTGACATAACTTTCTGCATGTTTCTTTGGTTTATGTATATGTATGTGGGTACCGTCTACAGCACCAAGTACTTTTGGAAACTTATATTTGTATTGTATATCTATCCATGTATATTCTGCTTCCTCTGCATCAGGCCATTTAATAAATTTATGTGCTAAAGAATAAATTGCTGAGCAGACTTTTCTATTAGCACGCCAAGCAGTTGCTCGTCCAATATTGAATCGGTCACAAACTGATCTATTAATTAAACGGAGAATATATATATGTATAATAAACTTAGTATTAATATATATTTAATATAATTTTTTAATTTATGTACAATTACCGATATGAGTCAGGTGTTGCCATAGTCCATAGTGCTACTAGTAATTGTACGTCTGGAGGAATTGGACACCGTCCATATCCATTACCTTGCTTTTCTAAGCTGGGTTTTATTAAATTTAATAAATATGTAAACACTACACGCGATAGCCTGTAATTGAAGAAATTCACTAATTTTAAAAGATAACTAATTACATTTGTTATATTCAAAATAGTAGTAAGATTGTTTCCATATTTTGCATAATAAAAACAATCGTGAACTAATAAATATCGACTTTCGAAGCATTATACATAAAATTCTCTATACAGTATTATTATTATATATTATTAATATTACCGAAAATGACTCTTAAATTCTATATCCGAATATTCATTGACTGTTTCCATATAATTTTTAACACGAGGTCGAACTTGAATTGGCAATCTCATAATTAGTTCATCTTCGGAAGAACTATCAGTGCTACTTTCGTTCAAAATTTCTAATGCTATTAAGCATATTGATAATTTAGTGCGTTTATCCATGGCTACATCCGAACCGCTCCGCTCGAGTGGTCTCATGAGACTTCTTCTTCTTCTTCGTTTATTGGCCAGGCAGTCCACCGGACCGAAACTAGGCCATTGAGGTCCGCGAAATATGAATCAAATGTAAAATGAATGTAATGCACCGGCCACCTCAAACCGGGCGAGTATAACAAAAGATGAGGTAATCGAAAAATGAGTCGCCCCCCCAAACACTGGACACCTGCGGCTACGCCGTTTCCACGACGCACGGCCGCGCGCCAAGACGGATGAAAGGACTATCGATAATGAATACAAAGCTCAGTCGAAGCCGGCAACGCTTTTCAAAAATATAATTGAGGTGATGCAACACTCGAAACGAAAGGGAACACGTCCGACCCGCTCGAGTGATCACACGAGACTTTCGGTCTCATGAGACTACTGTCAGTGCACTGCAATGCTGTTCCGAAATACAATGTTACAGTAGTGCTGGCAGTACCACAGTAATTTTGGAACGGCTGTGGCAGTGCACTGTTATGACGTCACGTTTACTGCACTGCCAGTAAAAACGGAACACACCCGAAATCAAGGTAATGATCATCATCTAATAAATGAGATGCGACTAGTGGATCGAGAAACACACTTCCAATATTGTCGCATGAACGTAGCTAAATTTGATAGTTTATTGAAGCGAGTGCAACCATTAATTGAAAAAGAAATGACAAATTTCAGACATCCCATTTCTGCCAGAGACAGATTGTATGCAACCCTTCGGTGAGTATTTCATGTACTAATGCAGGCATCGTTAGTTTGATATTGTCTTTATTTAAAACTTTTATTTAAACTTTAAAGCTATTTAGCATCTGGAGATGCAATGAGTTCGATGGCTTATGCCTATCGAATAGGAAGAATTACAGTTTCACAAATTGTATCTGAAACATGTGACGCACTGTGGGAAGTATTACAGGATGAACTGTTGGAACTGTTGGAATTCCAGAGGAAAATTGGAAAAGAGCAGCTGTTGAATTTGACAAGCGTTGGCAGTTCCCTCATTGCATCGGTGCTGTCAACGGTAAACATAATAGAAATCAAGGTAAATAAAAAACAATTTATAAATTGTTAAAAGACATGTATAACACTATAATAAAGAAATATAATAGCCGATTTAAACATAAATATATTGTGAAATAATAATAAGGTTCAATATGTATAAAACAAAATAAAAGGACATAGAACCAATATTTTAACAAACAATTATAATTAGAATAATAACATTACATACATACGTTTCGACTCCGATCGGGTCATTTTCAATGCAAAAAAACAAAAATTAACTTAGAAATCCGGTAATATTAAAAAAAACCTTCAAATTACATAATAAAAATAAAAATAACATAACATAATGTTGCTAACATAATATAAAACATAAAAAATTAATAGTAACATTTCATAATGAGTAAATAATACAATGTATTGAATAGCTGTTGCAAAAATGTAAAAACTCAAAAGAAAAGAGTAAAATAATTATAACAAAATCTTAATTTTGTGAGAATATTCATGTCGTTCAAAGTCAAGTATAAGTAGTCCCATTGAAATTAAGATTAACTTGCAATAACAAACATCTCTAGGAAAAAATATGTAATATGTAAAACAAACTTAAACAAATTATCAGAAAATTATTTTACAATGTCAGATGAATATAAAAGTAACGGAAAATTATTTTACCTTGTCAGAAGAAAATAAAAAAGGAGTTATAACCAATTGAAATTATGCTTAATATGCAAATACACGCGCGCGCGCGCGCGAACATCTCTAAGAACAATTATGAAAAATATAAAACAAAATTCAAAAGG